CTCAGTTGGCCCAGTTTTTGGTAATTTTGTGCCTATTAGAGGTAATTAGACTCAGCCATGAAAATAGTTCTATTATTATTATTATTATTTTACTCTAATGCTGTCCCTACTTTTTCTATCACAGAGTTGATCGTCCGCTCAAATGAGATAGACCATGGTGTCTTAGCCATGAATTACCGAAATCATGAAGAGAATACTTCGTGTTCTCTGTTTGTAGCTCAGCATCGCATATGAACTCAACCAGGCATACCCCGTCATCGTTCTGTGCCTACTTCAGGTGATGACATTTCACCATGGTAGCACTATAAATGTATCCATTAAACTCCAAGCAAACAAAAATATGCGAAAGTCATTGTAAGATGAGTGGGCCGTTTTAGCAAAGCTGCACCACCACATGTTCGGATCACGGGCTAAAGAGTGGAGACAAACGACGTCTTTAGATGCATATGGTACAATTTTAATACATTTGACACGTGAATTATTAGTGTTTTGAAATTATCAGTTGATGAAGCAAAACAAATACTTAACTTTTAAAATGCATCAAAGCAATCCATTCCGACGTCAGTTTCTTTCATATTACTAGTGTTTGTACTTCAAATTGATCGATAACGTAAAAATGTTAAACATTTTATATCACACAAGTCATAGCAGTTCATTTGCTATATCACCCAGCTGCTTTTGATAAGTGTTATGCTCCCCGAAGGGAGAGCATATAGGCGCCGCTTTGTCAGTCTCTCCGTCCGTTAGTCTGTCCGCCATAATTTTGCACAAAAAAATAACACAAAAACTATAAGAGGTACTAACATAAAACTTAATAGGTAGATAGTTCTTGATGAGGAGAAATGCGGTGAACAAGAGTCAGAAGGCTCTTTTGGATCATATAGAAGTTATTGTCGTTCATTAATTTTCATACTTAAATTTTGTCCGAAGCATAACGTTAAAACTATTAAAGGTATCAGCAGGACACATGACACTTCATGGATAGATTAATTAGAAGAATTGCAGTGCACTAGAAACATCACTCTTTTTTTTAATAATTTAGGAGTTGTTGTCCTTTGTCCTTTGTTATTTTATCATGCTTAAATTTTGTCCAATTCGTGAAGCATAACCTAGTCTCTGACGACCCTAGGATTACGAATATGACAGTTTTAATCACTTTTTTGTTTGTACGTTTCATGCAATGCCAGATTTTTTTTCTATTTTGAAACCTCGACCTGCGAATTTTTGAATCCAACAACAGATTTACTTTTTACTTGCGGAAATAATGTCTATTTCTTTTTATCTATAGTTTAAGCTGTTAGAGCTTCAAAGAAAAGTCCTTACCGCGTACGGCTGATACTTATTGACGTTTGCCTTTTACAATCTGAATCAGTCAGTCGAAATCAACTCTGTGTCATGAACCCTTTGTCGACGAGTGTAAGCGGATGATGGGAGATTTTCCATTTTAGAATAAAGACGGCTTGGTTTATATGATTTGCCGACAATTATAAAAACAACAGTGCAAATAAGTATATTGGTTTCCGTGAATGGACAGCAATTTTGGCTTCGTTTTATATAGCGACTCTTAGCAGTTTCAGCAAAGAAGACTTGCGTTATGGAAGGATGTAGCAATAGGACTGACAAGTGTTACATATCCACAAACGTATAACAAGGTTGGTTCATTACTATTGGATGTGTGATTAGCCTTCAATATAGTTTTTGTCTGGTCCAGCACTCTAGCACTGTTCTAGACGACACAATGACAATGTAACCACGATGGTGCAATGATGCTAGATATTTGAATTCAATGTGAAAAAAACTCTCATATGCTTTAGATGGTATAATCGAAAATTTCAATATCACGAAACAAAATAAAAAGATTGAGTCGACTTAAGTCATGATTCAATCAATTTAAATAAATTTCTGCCGTATACTTTCTTGAAAACGATTGAAAACGAAAACTGTTCATGGAACAGGACTATATCGACATATCAACAAAATTTCAGTCCAGAGTAAACGTAGAAGGAACAGAAAAAAACAAACAAAAAAACAAGAAAACAAAAAAACCAACCAAACAAACAAACAAAAAAGTAAAGAAAAATCTCTGTATGATATCCTTGAGGAGTAGATATTGAAGACAAGAGTCTAAAGTGCGTTTTCTGTTTCATCGACGCTACCCGCATTTAGCAAGGCCAAGAACGGCATGCCATGTTCTCAAATGAGAGAACAGGATTCTCAAAGGATTTTTATGAAGAAGTTCTTTATGTGCGTCCTGGAGCTTTCAATTAATACCGTAGTTTGCAGGTTTGAAGTTATATAACCACTAAAGATGACAATGACTGATTTATCGATGAAAGCAGAATTTTTAGTGTAGAATTTAATTTATCGTAACAGCCAATGTTCTATGATGAAACGGTGATATGTTATAGTGCCATCACATTGAAATTTTATAGCCTAGACATGGTAATACAACGCTCTGCACAGTCACATAGTTTCATTTTGCACCCATTCATTGCTGATAGATAAGCAGGGAGAAAGATAAGCAGAAGATTCAGAAGAAGCAAGTGGCTTTTTTTATATTTATCTTTCTGATCTCTTAAACATCAACAACTTCAAAAATATCAACATGTGAACAGAATCATAAATCGATCCTAACTTTGATTGAAGATATTAATGAATACAAGGAAAATACGACTAGGTGTTCCGGTAAAGTTAGCATATTGACATAAAAAAACATCTTTTGCACATCTAGCAAGATTAGCTATATCAATTTTGGCAGTTTTTTTGTTCATTATTAAGGCCTGCTTTTGCCATATTTCACTTTATGTTTAAATGTTTTACGACCGTCTCATTATCCGCAAAACACCGCCTTTTATACGACTAAATCTGTCACAAGTGAAAAAATTCTCAAATAACGGCCTCGAACTACCATTTTTATTTGTATACATTGACATCACAACAGAGCCGCTATTTGATTCTGTTTTGAACTCAAATTGCGCTTCACTGAATATGGCTGATATGACGGAATTGAAAGTTAATATCACAGGCTAGCATCCGTCAACATCCTCTGATTGTTTATGTTTCTGACGCTGTGTTAATAGAATATTTACGCCATGACCAGTACACGAAAACGTATTTATCAAGTCTGTTTATGGCTTGGTAGCATTCATTGGATATAAACCAAGAACGACATTGTCTACTGTGGTACCAGATATTAGAGTAAGCGGATAAGTTTACGAGGAATACCATTGCTCGAGTTGTCCTTATTGAATAGCCCTCGCATTCCATAAACATCGTCTCTGTCAGCAAATTAATAAAGAATTTTGTCTTGTTACGACGTTGGTCAATGGGCATTGCTCCTATATCAATTTTCAATTTCAGTTCAGATAAATAATCCTCCATCCTATTGATGCCGGAAAAAATAATCAAATCGATAATGTATGTCTTATAGTGTCTTGTTATATGAATTATCTTATTATGTTGAGAAACTGATAGAAACATGGTTAAGTCCACTCACAAAAAGAAAACGATGAAAACAAAGTCGTGTTTGAAATGCATTGAAATGCAACTGTCCTGTAAAACACACAATTGAACATGTAGCTAGATGTTTTTTTGTTTGTGTCCCCAAGACAATACGATTTTTTCGGTTACGCTTAACCACATGCTATAAGGTAGTAAAGAAGTTTTAAAATGTACCATATCCGTTTATTTCATTGAAATAACAATGATGCTATATTCATATTTACACCAGCTCCATCATTGTAATGAGATGCATTCAAAGATAATTGTTTGCAGATTCAACGTCCTGACAAATGCGTAAGTCATATGAGGATGAAAAAAGTCGAAAGTTGAAAACACATTAGAATAATTCCATACTTTCCGCGCTATCACACGACAATTTACACGAACATATCATAGGCCCCAACAACACGTGAGCAACGCCCACACTTACCTCGTATAAATCGAGAGACCGCCCTTTGATGACCTTGGTCATTCATAGGACGTAAAAATATAAACCAAACTGCACTTTGAAAGCCGAAGTTTTCATGTCGATATTTCATTAACCGTTTCCTACGTTCTTTCCATCGTCTATAGAAGCTGATATTCCTCTTCTTCAGTGTTTGTAACAGCTGATCAGTAGGTGTGTCTACCTGTGTTACTTCGGTAGCATATTTCAGTGTGATAGCACTGTTACAATGAGGCTTACAAGCATATAGCAGTCTACCACAAATACTTGCACACAGGGAGATCCTTGTTTAATGACCACAGCTATCATTATGGCGTTAAACATTATAAAACAAAACAAACCACAGTTACACAGCTATAGCCTTGCTTAGACGGCTTTCAATGCACAAGAAGAAAGAACAGATGTTGAGTCTGGTTAATAAGACTTATAGGAATTAAAAATAAAGATGTTTCGATGGCAAACCAGACTGTACATATGATGTACTTTTTGTCGGTTAGTAAAATTATCAAAATATTTATTTCATGACAATTTTCAAGTCATGACATGATCAAATCTCTGAAATGTACTTTGAATATCATGTCATGATTTAAATACAGGAAACTACGATAATGTCACAAAATCGTGATTCACATTCGAAATGGATCAAATGTGGGCTCACCGTGGACGATATAAAATACAAGTAGATTCATGTAAATGTACAAAATTGTTTCTTTGGGTTAAGCATCAATGGCGACACCCACCTTGGCCCTTCCAAATAAATAAAGTCACTTTCTCAATTAAGAACGAAGTTGAAAACAACAAGAACAATATCTAAACTTATATAGCAGAGGAAATTAAATATATTTCCAATTAAGGCCATGGGGGTGACCATATGATTTCCCCATAACCTTCACTAATTTTTACATATCGAAGCTTTGTGTTGATCTATCAGCTGTCTATATCTGCATTTTGAGCCGCCACAATAATTGAAATTAAATTGCAGGAATGGATTGCTTTTGAAACCACTTATACAACCAATTGAGAGTGAGTTACTCTTTCTTGTTTCTTATTACAGGTGGCGTCTACTGCAATGCAACATGGGACACTATTCTGTGCTGGCCGGCCGCTCGGGTGGGAACTGTCACCTTCCTGCCCTGCCCACAACTGCCAGGTCTCGACGTCACAAGTATGTGCTCGTGATTACTTTTATTGATTCTTTAAAAGAACGTGCACACGATGGAAAGCCGTTTTATCTTTTTTTATTTGTTGCTTTCCATCTTACAGACATTCTGTTTCCGTTGAACAAATTTTTTCAACATTTAAAAACTGTAGATAAAATACGTAAACTAACAATAACTGTCCGGATGCTTACATTAAAACATATTTGTTCTGTAGTTTTCAAATTATGTTCATATACACTTGTCACTTGTCTGTCTTTTCGTAAGTGTTAATCTGTTGAATTTGACTTTTGGTTCGCGAAGTGTAAAATATCACTGCAAATTTTGGTAAAACTACCTCTAACACGTTTTCAACAATGATATCAAGAGAAAAAAAGATAAAACTTTTTTGTTTTGCTAAATCAGTTCAAAATTAATTACTTTTGTTTTGGTACATCACTTCATTCAACAAGCGAAATAAAAGAAGAGCGTCTGTAGTGTGTCTGGAAATTATTTTCATGTCAGCCAATACATGTTAGAGTCGCCAGGAAGTTTATAATGATATATACATTTTATACCCATATGTACAATCGCTGAAACAATTACAGAAACATATAGATAATAAGAATCTTCAACGTGAGTAATTCTTAAACATTTATGGTCAATATGATATTTGGAAACATTTATTAGATGATTTTATTGTCAAAGTTATTGCGCATTGCAAAACAAAACATTTTTTCTCTAAGCGCTCTGTCTCTTGGTAGTTGATATTGCATGCCTTATTCAATTGTGACCATCCTGGCATTGTCTAGAAGTTGATATGACGCAATTTATCATAACGATAGGGCAAATGTCAGCTGTTTGAGTGCTATTGTCTACAATACGTTTTACGGACACAAGGCATTATTGATTTCATTGGCAAAGATACCTCTACAAACCTGATCATAAAGGAAATGTATAGCGTTAATTGTATAGCAAGACTGTTGGATGTATCCGGTTTATAAAAAACACTTTTTGAAAATGAAATGTAAATTATTTAGGAATTAGAGTTTACATCAGAATATGATCGTAAAAGAAGACCGTTAATGATTTCAAAAATAACAGAGAGAGCACACAAATAAACAATGCATTTAGTATGATTTTATGGTATGGAGAGTATGGCGGATGTATAGCGATGTTCCAATACGAGTTGCTTAAATATGCATAATATTATTGGGAAATGATTAGCTTCAAAATTATTTGGATTGGAAATATTACATAATACATCAGATATACCATATACAATACCATTATACAACATATGAACATAACAACATATTTGATTTCTCCTATTTAAATATTAGCCATACGTTTTACTGGTAAAGCAAATGCTGATGTATTCAATATTTATAGTGCTGGTGTATTGCATAGAGCATTTAATGTACGTTTCTGTTATACTTCGAAAAACTTAAACAAGATATACTGTTTTAACTCAACAAGTGAGATTAACAAACCACATTATATATATTATATTTATATATATTTATATACATATATATATAATGTAAATACATATTAGTTTTCAGTTTGAGTTTGTATCGCTTACAAGTCACCTGCTGATAGAGCTTTCATTGATGTGTCAGTATCAGGAACTGGAATTGCGTTGTACTGACTAAATGTACACTATGATACATTAATAGATCGAAAATGATTTCAAAAGCAACATTTTAACGCAATTTAATCAGTCTTTCTCAGCAATTGAAGTTCAAATGTTGTCGGTATGCGCGATGATAAGTACTAGACAGGTTTAGATATGGTTGTATTCTCTGTGTTGTCTACTCAGTTTATCGCTCCTCTGTCTGGTCTGTCCCAGTTAACGAATGTGTTGTCACAAGTGATCAACTTACCGTTCATCTTTTGAATCATAATTGTGCAGTAAAAATATCGAACGATACGTAACTAAAGTCTTATCTAACAGACAGTATGTAAAAAGACCAAATCAATTCCCTTTTTTCCTGTATTGAGTGAATTTGGTTCAGGCATTGTGTCTTTTGGTAAGATATTTTTAATCAGGACAAATGTTCCTCGCTGTTATTAAATCTTCCTGCAGCCCACTCCTTGCGTAGGGATGGATAATGTGTATTTTACTCGGAGGTATAAGTTATCCTTTATCTGGCACATTTTATCTCAATTACTCATTTTCTATGACATGAACAATTTTATAACTATTTAGGTGTGTATGTTTGGTTGATTTTATTCGGTATCAAATTCATAGATGTTTCTGAAAATTACCAACACAACGTATCTATATATTCGTTTTAATGCCCCCAATTAAGCAACAGGCGAAACTACATGAAATAAAGATGCATTTTATCTTTTCTGTTTCAGTATGAGTTTTTTAAACCAATCAAATACTGGGAACGGGATATAAAAACAAAGTCATTAAGTAAAATATGTTTGTTTAATTATCGAGTCGTGCATCTTGTTTCCAAACTGAATCGTTCTCTCCAAAAACAGGGAAATGTTTGTTTATTGTATGGAACCATAATATTGCTTTGTTCATTTCACTGTAACTGAAGTCCAGCAGTTTTGCATGTAATGTATTTCAGTCTATTAATAGTGTACCAGTTTTCATTGAAGCAATAGTACGTTGTTATAAAGATACTTTTATTTCATGTATGTATGCAGCAAACGTCCTGGTATTCTCTTCGTCAGGAAAGTCGTGTCAGCAAGAATTCTTACATTTAGTGATCATATCATCCACTGATTTTTTTGTTTCATTATCATAATGCCATAGGTATTTTTCGAAGCGTCAGAATTTATTTTGAAAAATGTTAACGAACTTTGATATCACGAAGTCTTAACGTAATCAGTTTTTTTTTTTGTCATCATGAATTTGAATACTGATTATCAACCACCGAAAAACGTTAAATTGATTACAGTTACAAGTGTATGTAATTTAGATTATAGTGGAAGACACGCATTCCCTGCTTGACACTAAACACTTGATCAGATACACAATGAAACCAGGCTCCTTCTGGTGTCGGTTTAATGATCCATGAGTAATGTCAAGCCAATGTGACGGCTACATGTAATATTCCGTGAAATCGCACCATAGAATTACACTCAAGGTGAGCCCAACGAGGTTTACTGACCTAATTATCTGAATTAAGCCCATGGACAGAGTAATGCATGAAATTGATATAATTTAATTCTAAGAATCACCTTTTATTTATTTGCTCTAGAACATGGTTTTCGGAGATGTGGGTCAGATGGTCGTTGGGAAGGAAAGTTTCCCGGAGATTACTCTAATCCAAAAGGATACACAAATTACACAAACTGTTACACCCCGGAGGCTTATGATATCTGGAAAAAGTTCTACGCGAACAAGTCATCAGCTCAGAGACAGGTGGGTCAGGAGCAACGTAAACGCAATACTAGTCCGAATGTTTGACCAAAGGACTTAAAAATGTCAAACCTTCGTATTTTTAGAAACTAATTTTTATACATAAACTGAAGTTGAAGAAAACGATGTAGTAACTCACCACTACTTGAGATAGAAAGTGATAATGTTCGAACAAAGACTCACATAAAATGTCTCACAATATCTTGTCCGATCACATTATAGCACTAAAAAGCGCCAACGAGCGATTTATTGCTTGGTGGGTGCTGTTTATATGACCTGAATGTTTGGAGGATGTAAAAAACACAAAGCAAGATAAAAGAGTAAGGAAATGCATTCATGGCAAATTGTATTGTGCAGGGTCTGAACGATAACATGAACGGAAAGGTTATATGTTGTTAACACACTCGTGTGTTTTAGCATTTCGATATGTCTTTAGACGCTTTCTCGTCCTATTGTTTGTTTCTTTCTTACCAGAACTAACTGTTTTGAAAGAACAGTTATTGGGAAATACACTTTTGGATATTCTTTTCAAACTGAGTATCTTTTGTACCACATCTCATTGTAACAAAGGTGACCCTAATAAAAAGCATAAAGAAAATACTAACATGTCAGCATAATGCTAATCCAACTCAAAATCCGTAAAACTAGGGCAAAATATCAACAACAAAAATTTACACGCAGATTTCTGAAAAAGTACTAGGGAAATAAGACCAGACGTTGGGGAAGAGAAAGCGTCTTCTGCTTCATCGATGGCATCTGCCATGTAATAACTCTCGAAATTATTTTCTTCAAAAGTAAGCAAATTTTAAGTTATTTCTATATGAAATTTCGGGCTTATTATCAGGAAATGTTTATTTTGAGGTCGACTTATTTTCGAGTTTTTATGATATCTTTATTGCATTTTTTTAAAAGCACAGATTTGACCTTGTGGATTTTGTTTCCACCGATAATTGGAAACTCCAATTTTTATAAAGTGTTATCACACTGTAATGTCTCCACAATCATGAGAAGTATTTCCGTTACTGTTGATGTTGTGTTATGTTTATATACTTCAACTCCATTCAATCTAGTGTCATTAATACTCAATTATTTACATGTAATTTACTATGTTTTATTCTTACTTCTTTGAATTTTAAATTTTCATTTCAGGGAGAATTCAATTTAATTATCTTGTGAGTAGTTTTGTTATCAGTATTTTTGCCAGGACTATTTTTTCAGAAACAATATATTTATAAATCATAACAGAGTGAGTATTTGGACTAGCATTACCTTTATCTTTATTTTTCAGATGATCAAGGACATTGTAGTGGGCACAAGAACCATGGAAATCGTTGGGTTATGGGTGTCCCTGGTATCTTCATTAATATCGCTGTTCATCTTTAGTTATTTTAGGTACGTTGTGGGACATGTTGCTTATACGCCAATGTAATAAAATAAAGGCAATAATTAATACCTAACCGTTTAATTTACTCTCCTTATTATCAAAGGCTAAATATACTTATATATTTATGAAAAGTTATGACTGAAGTTATGATTCCGACATAACTGTCAATGCATCGGTTTCTTTTAATTCCTCGTGTAAAATATCACAAAACTATTTAAATTAGAAGGATGCCTGCTGTGTTATTCTTGAAAATAAACGACATATACAGATTGTCCATCCATCTCGCATAAATCGCTCCTAAACCAAATCAACTAACACAAATTATATTATGCATCTCCGTTTATGACGATTCCTTGCAGAAGTCTTAGATGTCATCGAACAAGAATTCATCGGAACCTGTTCGTTTCCATCAGCGTACAGACGATCGTGCGATTGATCTTATATGTGGATCAGTTCGTGGCTCAAGCTGGAGGACAGCCCACTGTCGGTACAACTGACATGAGTGAGGGCGCAACCATATTTGAAACTGTGAGCAACTAAATACCCGTGACTTTCCGTTTTGATATAATAAAGGGTAGATTAAGACAATGAAAAAATATCTAAAAACAAATATTGTTTTTTAACACAGTATGAAATTCATGCGGGAAAGCAATTCAAGTCTCATTATTAACTCTAAAACATTTTTATCGATTTATCAGGAATGTTTCCACTAGACTCGTTACACTCAAAGCTTGTCTCATATCCTTGGACTTTTTGTCTGGCAGTTTCTTTCAATTAATTTATTTAAAATGTAAAACCAGTGTTTTAGAAAGAGTGAACGTGTTCTGTTCCCTTTAGCAACATTGTGCTTGTGAAGGAAGTACGAGTGACCGATAGGTAAGATAAGATATAACAATAGAATTAAGGCACCGGAAATAATTACATATTGATATGTACAAGTATCCGGATAATAAACTTACTCTGTATTCTTAATCTGAGAACGGTATTCAAGGACAAGGACTACTGTTACACAACAATTTATTTGTTTTATAAGTGATTCATTATATGTTCATTAACATTTTATGTCTGGTTTTTAAACATAGCCATTTAAGCTTTACACGAACACTGAAGCACTTGTATATTCCTTTATGTCTTATCACATAAGTAAAATTGATAGAGAAAAGCGAAGGCAAAGAGTCAACACTATTCCATAAAATGATTAGGGTTGAAAGCGCAGTATACATACCAGGTTGTCTAGTTGAAATGGTAATTTATCAAGGAATATTCAAGAATTTTTCTCTATCCGAGATGACACTTAGTGTTTACTAGATTCGATTTATAAATAAAGTATGTTTATTGTAAGAACATATCAGTTATAGTTTCTTTCGGTACTGTAAAATACCCAATCAAACTTGCCCTATACTGTGTCATTGAGAGACTCTTAGATCATTGATATCCTTCGAGACACACGGACCGTCTAGAGCATTAGTAACGACATGGGTTGTACGCACTATTGCTCCATTTCCTGGTACTTGGGAAATATCATTTCCTTATATGACATTTCTGTCACCGTGCAGACGATTTTTTTCTGGTTCCAAAGCAGCTCTCGTGAATCATTCACCTTTGAGAACACGAAAAGATTGATTGCCTAGTAAATCGGGCAACTGTTCCTCTCTGTTTCCATTACTCTACCTGTGGTGACAGATTAGTAGTCAAAGACCTAAGGAGTTGCTCTTATCTATTAATGCAATTTGCAGAGTGAAATAGTGGTGGACTTAAATGTTTCATCATTTGCCTGATATACTACACACGCAGTCAATCCGGCTAATATTATAAAGAAAATACATACAACGAACATTGAATCCTTTTAGTTTCGGTACATAAAACTTATTTGATAAAATATTGATAAAATATTGAATAAGAAATCGAAATTAAGCAAAAAAAGATCTTGCATAGAGTGGCTTGTAGAATATTAAGATAATAAAATAACGTATTTCGGAAGGATAAGCGTCTTTTGCTTCATCTTGTAGGTAATGCTATATTCTCAAATGAGCACGGTTTTACACCGTTACGTTACAGGTTACCGAGTTGTAGGACACATACCGATATCATTGCCATTCTAAATTATGCTGTTAATTTTATAACCTTGTTGAATATCGTTATTACTTCACATCTTAAAAACAGTTCATTCGAACGGAAATATATAAGTGCAAGTAACTGTTTTATGCAGCTATTATTTTGTTTCACATCTGCATGCTTGTGAAAAAAATATAAACAAAAACAACAAAATACTAACATGTCAACAACCATAAGCCAAACTCAAATTCAATAACACTTAGTACAAGCTATGAACAAAAGGATGATTTACACGGAGACTCCTGAAAAAGTACCTGGAGAATAAGACCATGAATCACGGAACATTTTAAAAAAAATTCTAGAGAAAGTTCACTGGTCCTATACATTAATAAGCCCAGTTCTATAATGAAACCATAAATATTTAAAGGGATTCAAGAATAGCAAATTGTAAATTATTGCATCACATGTCATGAAAATCATAAAAGTAATTATCTGAATTCAACTTCATCAAGTTCACATTATCATTTTCTAATGTCACACTTCCTCTTCATCAACATCTGATTTATACAAGCAATGGAAATGACGTTTTATGGAATTGCGTTGTCAGGCCATTGAAAACGTATCATTAATTATCGTGTTTCTCTCAGCCTTTTTTTAATTTACTTAATCACTATGATATGAAATTGCTTTCTTGCATATCATTTTTCAATATGAAAATCACTAATGCTCATAAGTAATTTTAATATAGCTCAGAGTTTCGTGTAAACATGGTTTTTGTAAGACATTTTCATCTCATTTTATCATATTGTCGTGGTCACTTTATCAGTTGACCATGTTTGGAAGAGTTAATGTATTTTGTCAGTATTTATTTCTTGTTTAAACACAACAGAAACAATCTTTCCATATACACTTTGTATGAATGAATTTGGAATATAATTGTGGATTTGATTTTGCATGGGACGGATGTTGGTGTAAACAAAGGTGCGCGGAACTCATGCTAAAATGTGATTTGAAAAAAGAAAAGAAATCAAAACATTTAAAAAATAGCTTCATAAGGGACACAAAATTTGCAAGAGCTATACCCGGCTTCAACAGTTCCATAATATTCATTCATTGAAAATAATGTTGTTGTCAATTGATTATTATTGCAAATTGTAATTAGTAGGTCACGTGAGAACTGAAAGAACAGTAAGTTAATGAGGTTTATTGTTGATGTTAAAAAACTGTCAAACAATTTCCACACTTTAATGTAAAAACTTTCACTCAACCAACGTTTTAGAAATGGTCTTTTAAATGTCAAATACGCCTTTAAATGAAATAGGTTTGTGCGAAGTTCTTTAGAAAGTGTGTGACATGTCACTTTCTTTAAGGTAAGTCAATATTTTAGGCGTTTTCAAATTGCAGCTGCAAGGGATATGTGTTAAAAGTAAAAATATGTTAAGGTGGTGATTGATAAATTGAAATGAGGAAATTCATGACAAGTTATCTGTAGATACCTTCTTTTCGAAACTTAATTAGGTTTGGCCTATTTAATTATGTTTTAATAAGAAAAGGAAGGATATAGAAATATTTGTCTTGGATTTCTCAGGAATGTTAGCTTCATCACACTTTTTTGTTTTTTGTTTTTTACAAACATCTGTTAATATTGAATATTGATGAGCATTTGCTGTGTAATTGAATTGAAACAGAAAGTTTGTCATCACATCACATGTCTCGTTTGACGTCACGACTGTATGAAGTCTCGATGTTTAGAAGTTTTTTGGTAGTCCCTTGAACTTCGAACCATCGAAGTTTGACTGTATATATATATATATATATATAGTGAAAGTCTATGTTTACTTAAGTCCTTGATCAATAGGTACACTAATAAATGTATCAGTTATAAACAGATTCGGCGTAGTTATGAAGAATCACTGTCAACAGATATTTCTGTAAGTCAAGCCCGTTCCGTTAGAATTAAATAACATATCAGATTTTATTAAGACTCACTAGTCGTTCGAAATAAATGTGCATGAGTTAAAGGTTGAAAGTGTTGGCTTGTTTTCTAAGCTTCATGTTTATGCGAAAGAAAAGCCAATGCTTCATAAATACAGCTTCTTAATCCGTTTACTGTTTGATACTTCGTAATATCAAGTATCGATCACCTGACAGCATGGCTATTAATTGAGTCGACTGAGAGTGCATGTTTTTGTGGCCTGCCAAAATATTCAAACTATAGATTTTATTACGTGTATGGCATAAAACCATTACGTTACCATTACTAATAGAAAATACCAACATGTCAACATATTCATAATCCAAACTCAACTTCCATAAAACTAGGACAAACTATGAACAAAAAACAGATTCTTTAAACTGAAAGGTAGACCAGTCCTTCCTGTATCGATTGAAATGGATGTGCGACTGATGTATACTAGAAACATTTGTCCTAATATATTTAATGTGATGTTTTGTAAGTGTATGTACATTTATTTTTTCACGTAAATTTGTGAAACTTACGGCGACGTAACAATACATATTGGTCAGTATATACCGGAAAATTGACCCAAACTGAAACTTGTAACTTCACTTTTTGACTAAATTGTGTTAAATATCTGTAACTCTGATGTGTAAATTATTTCATCCGACTTTTTTCAAGTAAAATGTTGTGCTTTGTAAATGCCTGCCTCATATCCACGTTTTTTACAATTATTTCCATTATTCAAATGTAGGTATGTAAGATATCCAAACAGAACATGTCATAAGTATAAGCTCAGATTTATTTCCGAAATCTCTGACTTCGCTTCAGAACTTTGATAAAGTGTAATACTGGGCACATGTCACAGGATGTCTTTTAAATTCTCTAATCTACCGTATTATATTTATTCAATACCATACATTTGTTTTGCGTCAAAACAACGGTAGTCTTAAAATGTTGGTTTTGCAACATAATTGTTAGGTATGTCAATGGATAGCCATTAGTTAGTGTTATTGCTATTAATCATCACACAGCAACGAAAATACCACTAAGATGATTCCATATATAGCTTTGACCTTGAAATAATGAACTCATATTTGGATTGATTTTCCGTCATGGGTTTTTGCTCCTAAGTTGTAATGCGTATTACGAGACATGAGCAAAAACTAGTCAGCTGGTATTAGTATTGGACAGTTAATGTAACATTGCTATCATGTGTATGTTGATATATTATCTTCTAGGTTAAGACTATTACACCTGAAATAGATTGCTAAGCCTAAGGAGATAGTTTTTACTGTTTCCAAGTCTACATCGATTGGAGGAAGGCGATATTTCCACTTCATTGATCGCCAAACTCAGACATCTAGACATGATTGTTTTTGTTGCGTTGTCAACACTGTCTATCGAGGGTTACATGATGAGAGTTTGTACGTACTAAAGCCTAGGAATTTATTTTGAAAATTCATTTTTTCATCTTTTCCCAAATGTATATCTCATTGTCTTTGTTTTTAAAAGTCTTTGGAAAATGTGGGTAAACATATGTTTAGAGAGTACGTTTGTCCCTTGATCATAAGTCTTAAGTCGTTAAAACATGTTTTTAAAACATTTAGCATTGTGAAATGTAGAAAATAATAAAGATGCATTGTCCCTCGCCGCTAAGAATGTGTAACGATTAACTTAAAAAGGCTTAATTCTTTAAAAGCAATGTATATATATATTGTGTTTACTACGAAGAGAGACTGTTAAATTTATTTTGGAAATATTTTGCTTTGGTCGCCTCATATAGTTATTCTCTGGCATACAAAGTGTTGTAAATTATGGGCTCTATATAATTACACATTTCCGATTAAGTAATTCCAAGACATGTAAGCATTCGGATTTTTTTGATAGTCGTGTCGTTATCAATTAAATGAGTAACTTTGACCAATCTATATAACGACATCTTACTTAAGGAATCCAACAGATAATCCGGTGCAATGAGAATATATCCAGGTCATTATGACACGTTTCCTTTCAAATAACGGTGGTTGTTTGGCCGTAAACAAGATATTGTCTCTTATTTTCCTTGCTGCGCTATGTCATCTAATTGTTTTCGTTTTCATTTCCATCCAATGAATCGTTTTGTTCTTACTTAAATCTCTTTTCTAAAATCCGTTGAATAATTCATTATCTACAGTATTGCTAATTTTGTATTACAGCCCGTGCTTTGTGAATTCCTGTATGCAATGATTGAATACACGAAGACGGTTCAGTTTATGTGGATGCTGATTGAGGGCCTGTATCTACATAATATGATTGCCGTGTCAGTCTTCTCGGGGCGTCCAAACTACATTGTCTTTTATTTGATGGGCTGGTGTAAGTAACAATGAAACAACATTAGTTGATTGTTCCAGAATGTGTAGACAAGAAAGAAATAGTCTTTACCATAACACCATTTGGTAGTTGAGATATCATAAAATGAACTATCGACAAAGCAACTGTTTTTAGCTTTCCGGGATCTATACCATTTACAACGGTATTGTGAAAACGAAGCTAACGTTGATGCTAATGATAATAGTACAATAACAGAAGCTTAGATCTTTGATTGTCAATATAATATAAACTGATAAATAAGGTGAATGAAGGGTATTAACTTTATAGTCAGCTAACCATATAACCTTATAGGGAGGTAAGACACATAACTCTCTGCCTTCTCAGTTATGGTTGCTTGTACTCGATAGCCTGTACCGTCAATGACGATAGTTCACCTTTTGAGTATAGATATTCTTAATAAATAGAAATTCTACATTTTCGATATTGAATCTCATTGCCTGGTATATATCCCTCTATGGAATATCAATTCAAATTTTAAAAAAATGATATTTAACTTTTTATACTTGTCGAAATTCAACCATACTCTCGGAGGAGCGGGGCAGTTTTGCATTCTTATTTCTTTATAATGTTCCCATCCAAATATGGTACACTGGCGTTTCAAATTCATGAACATAGTAAGCTAACACTTTTCTTAATAAACAGTCTGTCCTGTAGAAAGCCGACATTCTACCTACGTACATATACGTGTTGGTATATATTACGGAATGTGTTCTATGTTTCTGTTTTAACAGGTGTCCCACTTCCGTTTACTATCAGTTGGGTTGTTACGATGGCATTTAGTCACACAGCTAGGTAAGATCACACAGACTCCCGTACATTGTAAAAGAACTTCACAAATAATTCAATCTAATGACTTTATTCCTTGTTTAATTTCCCTTGAACAACACCATCCGCTGGCCCTTTTTTCATTGAGTCGTGATATTGTCTTACCTCAAATTGATATTTTGTCAGTCTCAAAATATATTTTTGTCAAATACCTTTGCAAAATTTAGTTCGTAATTTGATCGGATTGCAAACTATATTAATATATTTATAACAATAAATAGATTAGAATTAATTGTAACTTGTTTTCATTTTTATTTGCTTTAAAACTGATGACGGATGCTTTTTCTGCCTTAAAATTAAGAATCCAATACTTAAGTTGAGGTTCTTTTGGTATGTGAAAATCGTGATTTTTTCTTTAATTATGGAACTAGTGCATCTCCCCATTCCGAGACATTTTATTCGAGATTTTCCTCAGTCTCCAACTAGGTTTTAGAATTTACACCCATAGCAGCACTAACGGCTCCTAGAAGGAGGGAATATGTGTATGATGCTGCTTAATTTATTGTTTGGCTATATTGTAAATGAAATGCAATTAACTTTTATGTCTTATGTACAGTATTACACTGATTTACATTAAAGTTCTTTAAGACTTTTTGTGATTACCGATGGTGTTTCTTTGAGAACATGGCATTACTGTAATAATGCCTTGATTTACATGACGGATCAAAGCATGCTCACGCTCGATATCATTTTTCTGTCGTAAAAATTGATTTAATATTGATGTTCTCTTATTATTCGTGTTGTTTTCTAAAAAGGCGATTCTGTACTATTTACTTAATGTTAAATCATTGACGATTTTCATTTCTGGTTTGATTCGATTTCTTTTTGTTTCAGGTGTTGGTTTCCATATTATTTTTTGCCTTATTACTGGATAATAGAGACTCCAAGGGTAGCAGTAATAGCGGTAAGTTTAGAGATAAGCTATTAGTAGCCAGCAACACATGGCACTGCATAGCTCCTATTTTGCTTTACAACTTAAAATCAGTCTTGGGCATATATCGTTTTGTATTGTGTCACCTGATCGAGGCAAACGAATGTCTGTTCAACTGGTATATTTATGAATGCATTCTTTATTTTAAGTTAGCGTTCAAGTTTTGAAAGATTGGTTCGAGAAGGTTAGCCCACTATCGTATTAATACTACTTGGTAGGATGCGTTAACAGCGTTTCCGGGTAGTGATATGACTGATAAAATGACTTTTAGAAGTAAACAGAATAATCATTTGATATTCTTCGTTCTATCAATGCAATATATCGTTAAACTAAGCAAAAAGACTGATTCGGATTTTCATTTATATATTTCAGATAAATTTAATGTTTTTACTTAACATTATCCGTGTGCTGGTGATAAAATTAAGACGAAGTCAAACTAACGAACCACAAGTAACTAAAGTGAGGTAAGAAACTGGAATTAGATTCGGTAAAGAAAAGGTACTAAAGTCAGGCAAGATAGAGAAACTGGGATCAGAAAAGGAGAGATTATAAAATCTGATGAGATATAGGTATCAGATTGATTGAAGAGCCAGGTTCAGGTAAAGGCAGGTATTAAAGTCGTGAAAGATACCGGGGCAAGATCAGGAGCCAGGTTATGTAAAGGCAGGTACTAAAGTCGGGAAAGATACAGGGAAAATCAGGAGCCAGGTTTAAGTAAATGCATGTACTAAAGTCGGGAACGATACAGGGACAAGATCATGAGCCAGGTTCAGGTAAAGGCATGTACTAAAGTTGGGAAAGATACAGGGACCAGATCAGGAGCCAGGTTCAGGTAAAGGCAGGTACTAAAGTCGGGAAAGATACAGGGAAAATCAGGAGCCAGGTTTAAGTAAATGCATGTACTAAAGTCGGGAAAGATACCGGGGCAAGATTAGGAGCCAGGTTCAGATAAAGGCATGTACTAAAGTCGGGAAAGATACAGGGACCAGATCAGGAGCCAGGTTCAGGTAAAGGCAGGTACTAAAGTCGGGAAAGATACAGGGAAAATCAGGAGCCAGGTTCAAGTAAATGCATGTACTAAAGTCGGGAAAGATACCGGGGCAAGATTAGGAGCCAGGTTCAGGTAAAGGCAGGTACTAAAGTCGGGAAAGATACAGGGAAAATCAGGAGCCAGGTTCAAGTAAATGCATGTACTAAAGTCGGGAAAGATACCGGGGCAAGATTAGGAGCCAGGTTCAGATAAAGGCATGTACTAAAGTCGGGAAAGATACAGGGACCAGATCAGGAGCCAGGTTCAGGTAAAGGCAGGTACTAAAGTCGGGAAAGATACAGGGAAAATCAGGAGCCAGGTTCAAGTAAATGCATGTACTAAAGTCGGGAAAGATACCGGGGCAAGATCAGGAGCCAGGTTCAGGTGAAGGCAGGTACTAATAAGCTTATAATCAAAAATAGATATCACATACTTCACAGTTCAGAGTAATGTTGGGTCAGTACGGCAATATTCATTACTGTTTTTTTATATTTTTTATACAAATTATTCGTCTTTAGAATCTAGTATATTTTACCTTTAATAAAATTGCCATACTTTTGAATTCATCGATGACTTTTTTTCGTAAACGACATCTCGAATTAAGTAATATAGAGATGTTTATTGTAACAAAATTATAACACATCTACAGTTGGTATTCGAAACTGTTAGAATATACAAAATTCAGAATGTTCCATTATGATTTTTGATTGAGAGCCGTCGTAAAAGATACTGGTAACTGATAAAAACATGTATAAGTGATTTCAAAACTATAATTGTCGAAGCTCTTGAACGATTCAGGCCTTGATGTTTCAATGTTGTGGCATTTGAACTGAATATTACAGATGTAGACCTACTCCATATAATCTGGATCTTTTAAAATGATTCAATTTAATTACACAAATATTATTATTTGTGTTTCAAATAATAAAACCACTTTACATTTCTATTGCAGAAAAGCTGTGAAGGCGGCGTTGGTACTTTTACCTTTGCTAGGCATCACAAACTTCGTCGTCATGACGGATCCACCTGCTGATAACGTCATTAAATTTGGGATCTGGTCATACACAACTTATTTCCTTGTGTCCTTCCAGGGATTCCTCATATCATTACTCTACTGCTTCCTGAACGGGGAGGTAACTGTGTTATATACCTGCTTGGCGTTATTAATATTACAGAATTAATTTCCTTTACGTACATTACACATTTTTATATAAAGACAAATCTGTTATTGATGATTGCGATTTATTTAAATCCATTACCGCTTGGAGTATTAATGGGTTTATTGTATATCAGTACAAGTTTTAAAAGGCTCGTATAAGTAATTTTAGGAATAGTGCTACATAAATAAACATAAAAAATTCAAATGCGCCCTCGTATTAGTTAATATGGACTTCAAATTACTCAAAATGCGAGGTTTTTCGAGGACTAACATGCTAAACGTGAGAAAGCTCATACACTGTTTTCATTAAATTGTTTGTTTGTTTGGTGCTTTTTTGTTCACAACTGGTTTGCTGTTAAATGATAACGGTTTGTAATATCTATAATATCAGACATCCAAGCATTGAGTATTGACTTGAAGGAAATCTCAGATCTGTACAGGATTTATTGGATAAACAACACGAATGTTTCGATGGCAACCAAGAAGTGAGAAAGATATCAACATTAAAAATCCGTTATTGCAAAAAGTCGGCTGCCTAGCATTAAGCATTATTCACAATTATGAACAGACGCACTTCCTCTTAATTTCTTTATACCACAAGTCCACGTCTAAACCTGCTGTGTATTCTATTTGCCTTCGAGTTATGAATCTGCAGATTTTACATAAGGTAGTTATTATGCCATTTAAAAGATGGAGCTACTTAACATAGGTAATTGTTTTGCTTAGGTACAAGACACGTTAAGGAAACATTTATGCCAGAAATCGGCCGTGCGGTGGGACACCTCCCTCACGTCTATAAGGGTTCACCCACCGCCACGTCTGGACAAGGTAGTCGAAAAGTAGTCTTGCGCATGCTTGTAGCTATCTTGTCGCGAACCAAACTGCATTGCACAGCGAACTGCAATTCTCAATGTTGTGTGCCCAATTTCCTTTCAGTTTATCACAGTTTTTACATAGTTACTAATATATGTTAGATAGTTCATGTAAGTAGTAAATTTCCCAGAAATAATTCCTTCTTTGTTAATTTCAGACCTCTAAAAATAGTCCTTTAAAACCCTTTCTATTAACGTTCAATCGAAACATTCACTTTCCGGTGCAAATTTATAATCTGATACAGCAGAGACACTGGGGTCTTCGAGTTGTACGAGTTCGAGATAACCACGTTCGACTGCAATTGCAGTTGATACTTACATCAAAGTAATTTGATTATATCTAGATATTCATCGGGCCACAATAAGTAATATATACGTATCTTAAACAAAACCTCACTGCACTATGTTTACTTTGATGAAACACTCAGAATGGTAAATTTAGACTAACACGGCGACAATTACAATACAAAATTATCTCTATGATACTTCCAAAAAATGTAGTACTATGATACTTAAAAAAAACTCTTTTTTTTTTTTTACAAATCTTAGATAGAACACTAAATGATAAGGCAAATTATAATGTAAAATTAAACATATAGAGTTTATTTGAATATTTTAATTTCAATACTATACGTACCTTATGTTCATTTCATTCAGGAGAATATAAAATGTGTTTCTGTTTTCCATTATTTGAATTATAAAGCTGTATTTAAATCAGCAACGAAAATCATTTTTTACACAGGAGTTATAATATCTATTCAAGACCTTGTGATTTTCACCAGATAAGATATATAAATACCTACATCGGAATTCTATATTTATCAAAACATGTTAAATATCTTGCCAAGAGAAAGCATATTTGAAAAGAGAAAAATAAGTTTTTTGGAAAAAAGGATTTTTGTGTAGGTATTTATCCTTCTGTTTTTCATACACCTTCCAGAATGACCTTTTTAGCTTCAAGTGTCATGCAAAACTACTTTTCCATCCCTTGTGTCACTTCGTAGAAATTTAATTTCGCTTGATTTAGCTATATGTTGCATGTTCATTACTTAGGTACAGTTAACACTACGAAAACGCTGGGAGAGGTATCGCCATAGTAGAGTCGTACAATCCGCAAGTTTTCGACGTCTCAGCCGATCATTTTCTGTCTTCACATCTATAACAGAGGTTCCAAATACTTCAGTTAATCAGGTATAATTCTCCACCATTCAGCTTTCACACCAACGCGTAGATTTCTATTTCAGGACCGGAAGTACGTAATCACTAAGCAATTTTGAATGAACAAAGCGTCCTCTATGCGTTTATTTCACATAGACGGTAACCAAAGTTACGCAAAGCACACTTATGACAATGTATAACGGATTTTTTATTATGACGTTAGGCCCAATATAAACATTTAAAAATAAAATTGCAGTTATTTAACAATTGAAAGAAATATATTTTTAGTTTCATGCTTGTATGAAAGAAAAACCATTTTGCAAACTGACTGAATGCGCGAAAAATAAAAATAAAATTTCGACGAATCGGAAAGATGCATTTTGCGTTTAAACAACGAAAAGTTTTTTTTTTTTTTTTTTTTTACAAAACTTTGAATTCAATTGCATCATCAATGCTCTTTATGGAAACTCTTTTCCTTTTACTTGAATGCATTGTTGTGTCTAATTTAGCTTGATTGAAAGTGAAATGACATTTTATAACTTGAATTGCATATGTCGTAATTTGTTCTTTTAATATTTCAACTATCAGAACTTATTATGTCATGACCAGTGAAAAATATCGGCTCTCTTCCTCTTTTCAATGTCAACACAAAAGAAATAGGAGAATTTGTTTTGTATGGTTAAAACATGACACATTCAAGCCTATTTCAGATTTTCAAAATATTGCATTTTCAGTAACGTATATAATTGCTTCAGGTTTTTTATTTAAAGATTCATGATATGTTAATTATAAATTTCAGCTTGTTTTACATGTTTCAAGAAGAATGTATTTTTAACGGATTTTCAATCATCTTAAGTAGAGTATCTCAATTATTTCAAAATAAGCTTGCCATTTTGTGATACGTAGTGTACTGATTGAATTAATTATTTTTTAATCTTTATTATGAATAACTAATGTTTTGAAAATTAATATTTCCAGAATCGTCGCTCATCGGCCATTCCTATGTCAAATGGCAATGTAGTTCCGCTTCTGCGCGGTATGATCGTACACCGCGAGTCGAAGATGTGACGACTAGCGTGCAGAACGACATAGTACAATATTGTACTGTGCGTTCTCGACGCAGGTAAACCACAGAGGTCTATCCATAAGCATCTTCTGAGCCGAGTGTTCAGAATAAACTGTCTATTCTGAAGCCCAGAGAGTTCTAGCCTATTTTGATCTTCACCAAATGAAAAACAACGCCACGGAACAAAGAACAAAGATGTAGCATGTTTAAACTGTTGAATCAGTCACTGATCCATAAAGAGGCTGTGAGATCTAACCCAATGAATTATTGATCCATATGGTGGAACATCTTGACCAATGATTTATTGATCCATATAAGGAAGTGGAGATATAAACCAAAGGATGCTTCTTTTAGCCGTAATTGGTTGTAAGGTGATCGATATTAAATATAGGAAATAGATATTTGTTTGAAATTACAGCATTGAAAGATGTTCACATTTGAAATCTCCGGAGATCTTACAATTATCGCTCAAAATTGCAATGAAATAAACATTGTTTGTTATTAAAAGACAGGAAACGGTAAAGCAATGTATATCATATAAAGTATTTCAATTTCTCCATGTGAGTTGTATAAATATGTTTACATGACAATTACAATTGCTTAAGTGTCACGTCATCGCAAGCAGATTGCCACCAGGCCGTTAGATTGTTAGTGTTATTGCTTAATATGTAGCTGTTTGTTTGTTTGTTTGTTCAAATTCTACAAAATCCGAGTAATAATCAATATTATAGACCTATGTGTATTTGTTAGATTTTTAAATCATACATCGCTGTTATATTACTACATAAAACATTAGGAATTCTTTACCAATTGCTTTTTAATTATCAGTCATTTTTCTTTGATTCAAAATATACGCTTCCTGTGCATTTTAGCAACGGAAATAAGACAAATTTCAGAATTTACCGAACATACGATATATAAAGACATATTTACCATGTAGCTATCTTTCCTTATGAACTTCAGTAATACCATATGAATGTTCTTGCGTTATACTGATGCTAAGGTTTTGCTTCGTCGATACCAAAATGTGTTCTTTTTTTTTGTAATTTGTTGAATCTATCAGTGATAATGTGATAGAAAACGTCTTGTGTTTTGTCTCGGGTACAACTTCCATCCTGATTTCAATGGTTAAAAGGTATATGTATTTGTGTATAGTTGAAACATATTTGTTTATATTGTTGATGTAAGTTGCTGAAATAAATATAATTCATTAAGTTTACACTATTCCATAATATATAAGAAATGATTATTATCTCGAAAAAGCTGTGATTGTGATTGAAAGTAATATCAATGTAAAGATCTAGACGTTTCTAACTAACTAACAAATTGTCTGAAAATGAGTTGCTTCTGCGAAATCAACTTTGGTTACAATAGTTTATGGCGAAAAATAGATATCAGAATTTTACTACACAATTTGTCAAATATTTGTTGAAAGCACAACCGAGGTGTTTTTTTTTAAAGTCTACATTATGTTCAGTTTAGACAGATTCATACAAATGTTTCGCTGTTTTAAAAGTATTTTTTATCCCGCATAGCAATAAATTAATAAAAATGTTTAATTTTATTATTTTAATTGTAATAAAATCTTCCTATATTTCTTTGTTAACTATCGGAGTTGTGTCTATATCACTCTAGCCTTTTCAGACAATGTCTTCGGGTTGACAAGCTTATACATTTGTATATCAATAGATTTTTTATATGTATAATCAACAAGTGTGAAAATTTCAGCTTCCTGTGACGCTTCAATGAACACTTAAATGAATTTAGTATATCATAAAGCTGTTTCGCACTTAATGACTTACAAAGTGACAATGGATATTTCAACTTATCGCAATTTAGTTTAAATTATGGACAATGCACCTCCCCATCTAGTTCATAACTTTTATTTCAACCGATTTCGAATTTCCGCATCCGACGTGGATGCTCCAGGAATTTATGCCTTAAGCATCAAAGAAAGTTCTTTACGGACAAAACAGTTTATAGTATTTCGGAACATTTTCTTCTGGTTGGTATTGTCAATAGAATAGAAAGTCTTATAACACTACCAGTGGATTTAAGTGTGGCGTTTCGGTGACCACACTGTCACCTTCATCAGACAAATGACCAGTGTGAAGCATACTAGCACTGACGTACGTAGTGTACGAGATGGTCAGGAATCAATCCACGGCTGTGCTATAATCCTACCTATGTACACTATAATCGGAAATAGTGTGACGAGATGGTAAACAGTCTACAGACCGAAAGATGCACAAGATGGTAACAATGTACTGTAGTTAATTCGTCTACGCTTTGTTTAACACCTGATCTCATAGATTTGCATATATATATATATAATGTAGCTGTATGGTGCAGTTCAGTTAATAGTTTGGCTATAATTCTTTTTTTTTTCTACCAAAGGTTACAGATGACGATCTGTAGATTTATTTTCTAGATTTTAACTGATATTTACATAAATAATAAGGAATAAGGTACAATGAAAAACAATGTCTTGACTTTTTTTAACTCGAGTTACCTCCCTTAGACTACTATCCGGGGGAGGGGGTTTGATAACTTAGAAAAGCATCCAAACATATACAGACTAATCTTATCGATGTGAATATTTTTTTTAACTATCTAATGTATTGACAATTCGATAATAACATTATAAAACACGATTATAATATAAATTCTGCAAATCTCCACAGATTTGAAAGTCCCTTCAGTATGTCTTCTACACACCAGGTGTCGTAAACTCTGCCATCGACGGAAATTAATAAACGACAACAACATCAATGTTACGTAGAGGTTTTATTAGAGAGTAAATTACATATGTACAAAATATGTAACCTGCATCATAGACTGTGAATTTAATGTCACACTAGAAAATCATAGAAGAAACTACAATGATATTACCATACACAAGTTAGAATTTTAATATTCCATCTATGGTCATTTTCTCGGTGCCATTTGCTACATTAATGCATGTGTAAAATCCATTTTGCTTATTCGAAACTAACCCTTTTATCTACACCCAGAGATAAAATATAGGGAGCGCAATAGTATTTTTTTTCAAAAATAGTCTTGCGCCGTAATCGACGGAAATGAAGACCATCACATGAATGAGGTATATCACAGAACATGTGTTATAAGTGTGAATATCATCAGAGCAATGTCTGAGTCATGCGCTTATTCACAATGCAAATTATATTTGAAAGAAACACAACCTGTGATGTGGATCAACTTAAGAAACAACACAACTGTATGTATAACGTCTCAAAAGTTAAATGGTAAGAAAAACGAAGAAATGAAATTGGAATTTTCCAAGTGTTGTTCCCTCTCCCGGTATGAACGATACTAAAAGAGTTATTCGAACAGCTGAGAGTAATAATGTAACCGAAACACCGTCGTAGGTGAAGACCAATTCACGCTTTTGTGCCGGATGTTACTGGAATCTAGAAAATAGAAGAAAACAATTTGTGATAGATGTATTATCCAGTGCCTTTGTTGTCATCGACGAAATAAAGACAACAAATCACGTTTAAATAAAGTTTTCATTACATTATATGTTCAAAGGATAAGATAATTTACTTAAAATAAAGATATATTGCAGAAGCTGTAACATCAAGATAGATTACGTTTAATGATTTAGCTGACAAAGGAAAGCCACTTCAAGGAAATGTTTGATGTCCGGTATTGCTTGAAGTTGAAAAGTATCAATTTGATTTTGTTTATAAGTCGCTTGTTGGTCTCTGTTCCTAAAGCTAGCAATCTCCCTGCTTTTAATTTCAAATGACTTCCGTACATTTCGAACTTACCAAAACATTCCGAATCCCATATCGTTTCCGGTAAGAGCGTTGATGTACATCCATCTCTGCAGGGCGTTGTTGCCTCCCATCATTGGCAGTCCTCTCATCATCATATTCCATCTCATCATGTCGCGCATCATGTCGTTACCGCTCATCATCAGCCAAGGAGCCATACCGCCCATCATTGGATTAGAACGAGCAACGCTACCGGAAGAGCTAGGCACTGCTGGTGGGCTGGCCGCAGGTTTCATTAAACCACTCTGGGCACCTGATCAAAAAGAAATCCTTTAATTAAGTAATGAATATATATTTGAGGCTGACAAATATTCTCATAAACGAGCTACTGCCAAAGCTCGTGTCATCGAATAACATCGAACTTATTGTTATTTGAGCGAATTAAAATTTCTGAGAATATATGTTCTGTTCGTATATATAATAATTCATTTACACTTAAAACTATAGCTGCCTGGGCGTATCTATGTAAATGAGAGACAATGCCTAAACAGTTCACCTATGACAGCACACACAAAGACCTCAGGTGAAAATATTTTCTTACATAGTAACATATTAGATATACTACGAGCTTTTTCAGCTTCTTTTTCCACAAGATTATACGCACGAAAACATTATCACTACTGCACAATGGACACGTCTCAACACTGATCAACTCTTATTTTTTTAATTCAGATTTTCATTAAGGCAGTTTTACTGTTCTCCGAGTCGAACTAGAATTAAAAATAGCATTTACGCTAACGCTCATATTGTCCCTGACGCTTTTTGTCGCATATGTTTTTCAAATGTTGCATTTCTGTGTCTTTCTAGTACTTGCTCTCTGAAAATTACATTAACAGAATGTAGTTTGAATGTCTTCAAATTAATAAATTAATCCTACAATGGAATTTTGTTTTTCAAGAAAACAATGAGAGAGAACTTTGGCTTGAGATAAGTAAATAATGTATACTGCGACGCACTTATGATCCTCCAAACTATGTACATATTCGGATTTTTTTTATTCCTTTACTCTTGAGAAATACATTAAATCAATACACTATACACTAACGATTTTTGAATAAATATTAGTTACTAAAAGTTCAATTACGTTTTTTCTTGTGAAATATTGTTCAAATACAAGAGGTAATGAACAATTAACGACTTATCTGTCACGATGATATATTGAAATGTAAACAAAGAAATTCTAACAAAGAGAAACATGATGTACTTTTACCTCATTTCGTACAATTCGAACCGGATCTTCTTCCAACGTGTAAACAGATAGCACGTCTGATGCGCCGTGCTGTCAGTTGTTTGTTATGTTGGCATGCATTGTGATATTATATGTATACAAACATACGTATGTTTTTTTTCGGACGTTCATGCAGTAAATATTGGGATTTGGATTTTTGAACTCAGTGAATATTTCATAATTAACATCAATCAGGTTAAGATAACAGGAAGGAAAGTTTTGGAAGAAAAAAAATGCAGTTTTTTGTAAAACAGGGTTTACTGCTTCCAGTCATATAGCGAACAAAGAAAAACATTTATTATCAGCAAACAAACACGTGAATGGTATTCCCAATGAACACATTTATTGATACACAAATGTTTTAAATACAGGAAATAAACCCTCTAACGCTAAATGTTCACAACAAAACGCTAAACATATTTATCATAATGATTTTCTTTCCCATGCCCGTTATTAATTCATATGTGTTAAGTTTTCCTGTCTTAATGCATATGAAAATTATGAGACAAACAGCTCAATTCCTTTCTGACGAGGACAAATTTCCAAAACGATAATTTACAACGTACTTGTAAAAAGTTCTTGAGCCAATTAATTAAGCAGAAGAGGCGAATGCTGTGATACAATGTATTCATTCAAACAATGTAAAATGTTTGGAAAACAAACGCCTAAAATATATTTTTGTATCGATTTACTTATATATCTAATAAGGTATCGAATCATAACCACAGTAAATTAGAACGCTACATTTCACCGCTAGGAGACAAAAATAACAGATCATCATGCCGTCTTCTGTTAATGGTAACAGAATATATTATATAGACAAGAGGCCCGCGTTTACTACACGCTGACGTTTATTTCTTCAAAGTGGCATCTTTATATCCTCGTCCTGAAAACAATACAAAATATAACATTGTTTAGCATGTTTTTTCATGTTTTCAAATCAGAGCAATGAATGGTTTTACCGTTGTGTTTCTTGTTACGTAACTGTACTGAACATTACAACTATTTCATGGAAATGTATATATTGATAAAAAGAATATCATAACACTTGCATCCGTTTTTCAAAAGTTTATTTATATAAAAGTGTGTTTATTAATTGAACTTTTTTTGTTTTCATGTAAATACCAACATGACAACATAATTATAATACAAACTCAAATTACACAAAATTTCGGCAAAATATGAATCGACCACACCCGCCATGTAAACCTTGGTCAACCCAAGCAAGGTATAAAACAACGGAACTAGCAGGGAAAATAAAGAGTTTCAAATACGTCCAGCTTCATATCGCCCAAAGAAATAGAATATTTACTAGATCACTATGGCGACCATAACTATTTCCAGTAATTTTCTTCAACCTGTATCTTTTGAACCCTTGATTACGAGTTTTTCAGTCAACTGAAACATAATTTGTTTACCTTATCTAGCCATCCCCTCCAAGAAGTACAAAGCGGCCAGTTGGTCATCGAGGCCTTGACCCATTCTTTGTCTAAATAGGTTTCCAGCCACATTCATTTGTATAATGTCCTGGAGAGTGTCAGGCATATTCCCTGATAAAAACATAGATACTGCCATAGGGTTATTAAGCAAAGACCCAATCCCATAGGCTGAATTTACTGATGGTGGTGTTTGCTGGATATTTGAATTCCCCCATACAGGTTTCTTAGTGATGTTGCTGGAAGTCCGTTGGTCTCGCTGTATGTTACCTGGGAAAGGTGAGATATGGATAAATGCCATTGATAGGAAATTTGTAAATGCATAAGACTATTTTTTTCATCGTTCCTGTGGTAACATGATATTATCAATTGATAACATTCACGGCTTATCATAAGGAGCTAAAATATTGGCTAGTATGTAAAAAAAAACATAGGATGCAAGAATGACAAAGACGAATTATAGCAAAACATTGTCTTAATTTGTATGAAATGGGAGCCTTACAAAACGTACTGATATACTATTCTTAAAAGAACACTTAAGTGATTGGCAAAGAGATAAAAAATATCCTATATATATGCACTATAATAGGGGAAAACATATTCGAATTTGGAAATCTATTCATCACTATAATACATTCTATTGTTACGTTCTCACACTATTCTGTTTACCTTATTTGTTCTCTCAGTATAATGACGTTTAACTACAAAGGTACTTTAAGTGTGACAAACAAAATTGCATGAATACGTTTGAATGAAATATTCATACAACGTTTAAACCATAAAAAACAGCTAGAAAGGTCATTTCGTTGTAAAAGAATACAATAGGGAGGCAGGAAAAAGTAGGCAATGTATTCAATATTCTTTAAAATTAATAAATATTATGAAAATAATATTTTCATTTTTAAATATTTTTGCTTTCCCTAGAAACACTACGAATGGGATTATTCCATAACATGCTCTTCTCTATATGCGGTATTCTGCTATTCTACGAATAAGATAGGTTGAATTAAAGCCTCTATCTACATTTGGTCTATCTATCTATGAAAGCAGGTAACAAGCAAGCATGAGCAGGTTTATTCAGTCATAGAACAAGTATGGGTTCACATACATCATGTGTTTTGAAAATTAAAGGAATCAACACAACAAGTAAAGATGTATGAAATCAAATTAAAAAAAGCAAAATATCTTCAAATCAACTCAAAGTGATTTTCCAAAAGAATAATGTAAATTTCCTTATTCAATTAACATAATGCACATAATATCAAAATACGTTACCTTGACAGTATAAACAATAGCTTCACAGTTGGCAACCATCTTGATGTTTTCCGCAATGTCCAGTCGCAAAATGAACGCAATTTTAAAAGATTCAGATTGAAAAATCACTCTATAGTATGAAGTGTAATTGTTTCAATCAGCTTCCAATGAAAAAAACTTCCGCTGAGTAAGTTGTAGTATTTAAGGTAGAAAGCGTTGAATATGCAAATGATATAATAGCAATAATATTATGAATAATCAGATCACAACAAGTTACACGATTGATAATCATTCGGTAAAACACAAAACAATTAGATTTCTTAACTTTATTCAGCATTATTCACAAAGCAAAATTTGTCCGTCTTACTCATCGGAACTGTATAATATTCAGGAAAAAACAATAATTGTACAGAAAATGTATAATAGCACCTGCAGTTTAGCATTCCTTTTTATAGATCAGCATACGTTGTAGGCAGTAAGAACACTGTATAGTCAATCAGTAGACATCTATTTGTTGTTTTTGCCATAGCTACATCTTGTGTCTCTTTCGTTTTCCTGCTCAGAAAGTACATATTATATTTATTACCCTTTTGTTTTTGAGTCTTTTTATAGGATGTTTGTAAAGAAGTTTAATGTTGGTGAAGATTGCGCGAAAGTGCTTTTTCAGTTATATCAAGAAACATTTTAAGTGTGGTTATGTTCACACTAAGTCCATTTGTGCTAACATTCTCATCTGTAGCATCCTGTTCATAAAGTTGTTTCCGGGTCCTCTTCTGGTTCCTCCAACCATTGGCATTCCTCTAGACACACCACTCATCATTCCTCCCATCGGCATGGAACCCATTCCACTTGGCATGCCCCCCATGCTCCCGCCCATTCCTCCCATTCCTCCCATGCTATTCATCATGTTCATCATCAAAAGAGGATTTTCTATTCCCATGGCGTCAAGCATCCTCATCTTCATGATAAACGGGAGAGTTCCTGATTTTGGACGAGGTGTGAACAACATGTTTGGACTGGGCATGCGCATGGGCATGCTCATTGGCATCCCTTTGTTGCCACGACTCTTTACCATATTCATCAATTCCATCATCCCAGCTGCTGACGGGGGCGTCTTACCAACTGCAGCTGTAACGGAAAAATGGTGTTGATTGAAACAGATACTCTGACGAGACTTGGATACTCATTTTATAGTAAGTATAACAATATCAGTAGCACATATTAATCTGGAAAATTTAAAGATGTTTAAATTTATAAGCCATTTTAATTGAAATATATTTACCAGAGAGCAATAATATTTGTTTACACACGTTCTTTGCCCATATTATCACGAGG